CCAGAGGATTCCCCCTCCCCCTCCTTCCTGACCAGGCCATTCTTTGCTGTACGTCGCTGTGTTACTTTAACTGAGAATTGCGCGGTCATGCAACGCTGCACCCAAATGAAATTTACATAATTTTTTTCCCCCACAAATTGACCTTTATTTCAGTGTTTTTTTATTTTTTGTGCTATAAACAAAAAAAATTCCAACAATTTTTTAAAAAAAACTATTATTGCTATTAAACATATCCAGTGAAAACATATAAAAATCAAATACATTTCAGCCAAAATGTATTCTACTCCATGTATTTGCTTAAAAAAATCCCAATATGTGTAAACTAATTGGTTTACGTGAAAGTTATAGCGTTTACAAATAGCGGTATATATATATGGACATTTTTTATTTTGTTTTACTAGTAGTGGCGGCGATCAGCGACTTATAGCAGAACTGCAGCGAGCATTTTGACACTGGGGGGGGACTGACAAACTGTCACTGAAATTCCCAGAAACATCAATACAGTGATCAGTGCTAATAAAATGCACTGACACTGTACTAAGGGCACTGGGCAGGAAGGGGTTAACATCTGGGGCGATCAAAGGGTTAACTGTGAGCATTGTGTGCTTTACTGTGTGGGCTGTGTGTGCTTTACACTGTAAGTATTGAGTACATACAGGCCTCTCCTCCGTCGTTAATACTCAGAGATCGCCTGGTGCCGGTGGGGAATTTAAAGGAGAAGTATGGCCAAAGCTCTTCTGGTCATACGTCTCCCATGGGGACAGGAGTGCATTTAGTTCTGCATTCCTGTAACCCAGATTCAGCTGACAGAGGGCTAAAGCTTATGAAAGTTTTTATTTTAAATTTCCCACACTTCTCTTTTAAGTCTACTGTATATATTACTTATATTTAACTAGTCGGGTACCATCCTGAAATACCCCTTCATTATCAGGTCATAATTCAATTTCCAACACTGTGATAGTTTGGCTAACAATTACTCCGTCATGCAACATCATACCAAACAAATGTCATGTCATTATTTTCAGACACATAGAGCTTTCAATTGGTAGTATTTTTATAGCCACTATTTTCTCCTACCTTAAGTTATAAAACACTTCAAATTAAAAAGCCAGAACTAGGTGATCTAATTTTTTCTCACAATTATTTGGAAAAGAAGAAACATGCTATTTTTGGGGGAGGTAAATCATGAAGCCTGGTAATAATGCACTTAAAGTGTTCCTAAACCCCGGACCCTGCATTCACTATATCCACTCTCCCACAGTACACAGAACATGGAAATGCAATTATTTTAGTACATATAAACTGCTAAATACCTTTTCCCTTCAGCAGTTAGAGCAGTCTTGGGACTTCTATCAGTGTCCAGAAAAGCACTGATTAAAGCTTGTACAAATAATTTTAATTCTCCCCTATGAGGCTACATGACCCCTGACCCTCTTTCTGGACAGAGCTGATTGGCCCTGTGCTGATTACATGCACGCTTCCAAAAAAGAAAACAAAACTTCCTAGCAATACACACCAAACTGAGCATGTGCAGCTTGCCTCCAAGCTTCTGCTTTACCAGGAGATATATTGGGGGCAGTAGAAGAAGGGAAGGATGAGAGAAGACAGGATCAAACATATCTTTTCCCTTCAGCAGTTAGAGCAGTCTTGTGACTTCTATCAGTGTCCAGCAGGGCACTGGTTAAAACTTGTATGAAGAGTTTTAATTCTCCGCTATGAGGCTACATGACCCCTGACCCTCTTTCTGGACAGAGCTGATTGGCCCTGTGCAGATTACATGCACGCTTCCAATAAAGAAAAAAAAACTTCCTAGCAATACACACCAAACTGAGCATGTGCAGCTTGCCTCCAAGCTTCTGCTTTACCAGGAGATATATTGGGGGCAGTAGAAGAAGGGAAGGATGAGAGAAGACAGGATCAAACATCCTTTTTACTCGAATTGGAGGATTAAGGCCTTAGGTTCCACAGTGAGTATAACAAGCATGCTTTACTGCATCTACAGACTGATTGTACTGTTGTGGGTGTAGTAACACCTCAAGTACTGTACAATTCATACATAGAGTGAGGAGGAGGTGGAGGTGTTAATGTACATACAGTGGGAAGATGGAGATAAAAGACGAGGTAAAAAGATTACCCTCCAAAGTGAGGGAAATCCTTGGTTGTCACCAGGATCACCAGGACTAGTGTCCCTATTGGAAGTCCTCCCCTCTATTCCCACTATGGTGACAACCCAAATTTTGGGATTTTCCTTCATTCTTTTTACCCTCAGTGATAACAGTAAACAGCACAAATAGAGAGGGTGAATCACCCTAATTCAGATACCGACTGAAATAAAAACTTGAACGGTGTTCTAATCCCTCTACACTCAATAAAAAAAAAAAGTTTTGCTTTGCCTTTAGTTATGCTTTGACTTTTGACCAACACTTTTTAGACAGTCACAACAACAGTTTTTTTTTTAATTGGAAAAATAAATTTACAGTATAAGCACTCCTGGCAGTGTTATATATATATATTTTCCAGTCTCTGTTACAGGAAGATAATGGATCTTTTGTTAGAATCTCAAGATAATAAAACAAGGTTACAAGTGGACTCAAAAGTTCAAAAATGTACCTGCAACTTTTTTTTTTTTTACCAATGAAGCACACCACAGAACATGGTAGTGTATTGCTGCGCATTGCAGTGCTTTAAAAAACAAGCATCGGGGGGGGGGGGGGGGGGAGTATACTAAAAATTATTGGCACCATAGTACAGTGTTTTTCAACCTTTTTTGTGCAAAGGCACACTTTTTTCATGAAAAAAATCACGAGGCACACCACCATTAGAAAATGTTAAAAAAATTTACCTCTGTGCCTATATTGACTATATATAAAGTAATTCTCTTGAATAGGAATCAAACACAAAGAAATTATTTTATAATTACTTTATTATGAAATAATAAAGTATTTTATAATTGGACCCGGGGGCCGGACCAAGAGTAGATGAATGATGTGTATGTGTCATCCATAGTAAGTATAGTAATATTCCCCCATAGTAAGCATAGTAATTAATCCCCCATATAGTAATTCATCCCCCATAGTAATTCATCCCCCATATAGTAATTCATCCCCCATAGTAATTCATCCCCCATAGTAATTCATCCCCCATATAGTAATTCATCCCCCATAGTAATTCATCCCCCATAGTAATTCATCCCCCATAGTAAATTCATCCCCCATATTAAGTCCCCAAGCCCCCCCTGTGTCAATTCACTTACCTTTGCTCCGCGCGTTCCTCTCGCCGTCTTCCCTCGCCGTTCCGGTGTAGCATGAAAATCTGTCTCCTATGAGGATCTGTCCCCCCTCGACGTATCTGCGCATGTGCCAGTTTCAGGCATTAGCAGCCGATCGGCGATCTCCGGCACATGCGCAGATACTTCGAGGGGGACAGATCATCCTGACAGTATCACGCTCCGCGGGCCGGATTAAAAGGTCTATGTTACGGATGAAATTGCAATTTTTCCCACGGCACACCAGACAATATCTCACGGCACACTAGTGTGCCGCGGCACAGTGGTTGAAAAACGCTGCCATAGTAAACCAGCAAGTGTAGAGTGCATTGGGACAATTCACTAGTGTGAAGCCAACTTTGAGCCAATGACAGACTGCATGATATTTTTCATTTTTTATAGTTCCACATTTACTGAGATAAACTTATCGGCCATCAAAAGGCACTCAATTGCATGATAGAATGGTTTACAAAAATGAGCGTACATTACACACACCGTTCACTTTATTAGGTACACTTGTGCCAAGAAAATATCCCATGACGCCACCAGCCTGAACTGTTGATGGATGGATCCATGCTTTTATGTTGTTTACACCAAATTCTGACCCAACCATCTGAATGTTGCAGCTGAGATGGAGACTCATCAGACCAGGCAACATTTTTCCAATCTTCTATTGTCCAATTTTGGTGAGACTGTGCAAATTGTAGCCTTTGTTTCTTGTTCTGACAGGAGTGGCACCCGGTTGTCAGGGCTGGGCTCCTGCTACTTAATGAGCACCTGTTTTCTTTCAGTGCTCAGAAGCTGCTCAGCTGTCAGTTAATTACAAGCCATTCATTGTCTTCACAGTGACTCACCTGGATACCCTTTCCTGCCTCATTAGGCCAGCCTTCAGCCAGTCCTTTTTTGCTATTTTAGCAGCTTAACTCATTTCATTCTTGTCCTTGCTTGGTCTATGTTCTTCTTTGTGTTCCTGCCTGTGTTCCTGTGTACAACTCTGTCTGACTAACTTCTCTTCTGGTTCCTGTTCCTGATTTTTTTGACTCCTGACTATGCTGACTTCTGGTTTCCTGACCCTTGCCCGTCTGAGTAACCACACTGGCATCCAAACCCTGGCCTCTGTTTTGACTACATTCCTGATCTATGTTATATTTGCTATTTCATTAAAGGTGTGATTTTAACTGCACTTTCTGTCTCCGCCTGGTTTATGGTTCCTTACACCGGTGTGATCTTCTGCTGCTGTAGCCCATCTGCTTCAAGTTTCAATGTGTTGTGCACTCAGAGATGGTATTCTACATACCTTGGTTGTAATGAGTGGTTATATGTGTTACTGTTGCCTTTCTCTCATCTCGAACCATTCTGTCCATTCTAGTCGACCTCTGACATCAACAAGGCATTTTTGTCCACACAACTGCCTCTCCCTGGATATTTTCTCTTTTTCGGACCATTCTCTGTAAACCCTAGAGATGGTTATACATGAAAATTCCAGTAGATCAGCAGTTTTTGGAATACTCAGACCAGCTCATCTGGCACAAACAACCATGCTACGTTCAAAGTCACTCAAATCCCCTTTCTTCCCCATTCTGAGGCTCGGTTTGAACTTCAGCAAGTCATCTTCACCACATCTGCATTCCTAAATGCATTGAGTTGCTGCCATGTGATTGGCTGATTAGAAAATTATGTTACCAATAAATTGAACAGGTGTAACTTTTAAAGTGGCCGGTGAGTGTATATCTTGCTAAAAATGTTGGTTAAACTGGTGCCTCCACTTCCTAAAAGCTAACTTGAAGCCTTGGTTCCTCAGGCTGTAAATGACTGGGTTAAGCAACGGAGTCATTACAGTATAAAGGAGCGCCAAAACTTTATTGATATTGAAGGAATGTCCTTCAGTTGGTGCAACATATACAGATATCAGTGCACCATAAAATAGACACACAACAGTGAGGTGAGCACTGCAAGTAGAGAAGGCTTTCTTTCTTCCGGTAATGGAAGGGATCCTTACAATGGTATACACAATATAGATGTATGATACAACTATTGTTATAAATGGACAAATTAATACCACAATACAAAATAAAAATGTCTGAATATGTACTATGGTAGCATCCGAACAGGCAAGCCCTAACAAAGGAGTAAAATCACAAAAGAAGTGGTCAACGATGTTATTTCTACAAAATGTTAAATTGCTTGTTGTAATGGCTTCAGAAAAGGTCATCACAAGACTCAACAGCCATGTCAAAACTACCAATTTATGGCAAAAAACTGGACTCATTATTGTGCTATAATTGAATGGGTTACAGATGGCCAGGTACCTGTCATAAGACATCACTGCCAATAGGAGACACTCAGTGGCCTCTGCATTGGCAAACATCAAAAATTGTGCAATGCAGCTTTGCAAAGAAATTGTGCCGCCATCATTTAGTATAATGTAAAACATATTAGGAACAATATCTGTAGTAAGTAAAATGTCAAATATGGACACTTGGATGATAAAGAAGTACATGGGAGAATGGAGTTTTTTGTTTACCGAAACCAAAGAAATTATAGTAATATTTCCCAACAGAGTCAGACCATAAATGATAAGCAACAATAAGAAGAGAGGAATCTTGAAATGATGAAGCCCTTGAAATCCCAGAAGAACAACAATGGTGATATTATTATTCATTTTCGGTTGATAAAAAACTATAATCATAATAGCAATGCAAAATTTAAATAACTAAAGGTAGGTAGAGGTCTTCTCATCCAACAGCAGTTCCTGGCCTCAAAAGTGCTCCAAACCTTTGTAGAAAGCTTTTCCAGAAGAGTGGAGGGGAGTGAACTCCCTATCAATGTCCATGATTTTGGTATAGGATGCCCAACAAGACCAATTAGGTATGATTGTCAGGTGTCCACAAAGAATCAATATAGCTCTACACTAATAATTTACACAGATTTTATATCTACCTATTATCGTCCATCAAAAGACACTCAATTGCATGATAGGATGGTTTACAAAAATGAGCGTAACGTACACACACTGTTCACTTTGTTAGGTCCACCTTGCTAATTCTAAAAAAATATCCCCCACACCATTACACCATCACCACTAGCCTAATCCGTTGATACCAGGCAGGATGGATCCATGCTTTCATGTTGTTTATGCCAAATTCTGACCCTACCATCTGAATTTCGCAGCTGAAAGCGAGACTTATCAGATCGGGCAACATTTTTTCCAGTCTTCAATTGTCCAACTTTGGTGAGACTGTGAATTTTAGCCTTTGTTTCCTGTTCTTAGCTGACAGGAATGGCACCTGGTTGTGAGGTCTGGGCTCCTGCTACTATAATTATAATAGTAAAGCAAAATTTAAATAGCTAAAGGTAGGTAGAGGTCTTTTCATCTAACAGCAGTGCCTGGCCTCAAAAGTGCTCCAAACCTTTGTTGAAAGCCTTTCCAGAAGAGTGGAGGGGAGTGAACGCCCTATCAATGTCCATGATTTTGGAATAGGATACCCAACAAGACCATTTAGGTGTGATTGTCAGGTGTCCACAAAGAATTAAAATAGCTCTACACTAATAATTTACATATTTTTTTATCTACCTCTGTGGATAACATTGTAATATTAACAGGAGAAATATTTTTCTGAACTGAAAGTCAAATATGGTCTTTGATCTTTATTCCTCCATAGAATATCCTTCTGGTCTAAAAGTTTTTTTTCATTTTGTGGCAAATATTCAGGTTTATGCTGTTTAAGTAAATTCTGTATTGAGAAACAAGTTTTCAGTTTTACACTCTGACACCATTTATAAAGGTCTGGAAGCTACGGCATCTTCAAGAAGTCTCACCATGAATGATCCCATCTCTTGGACTCTACAGAGTCTTCTCCTTATTCCCTGTTTTCAATCCTCTCTATAACTCTCTAACCGGTTCTTTTTTCTTCCACTCCTCCCTCTTCTTCCTCTCAGGTAGTGACATACTTACAGAAATGACATGTTGAAGTATTCTGTACTTGATTCAGCTTTAAGGCCCATGTCTTGAGGCTACTTTCATTCTTCTTAGTATGGAAATAAACTTACTAACATATGCAAAAGACAGTAGAGAAATATCTTAGTAGAATCCTGGATTTAACACATGTAATACTACATGTAGAAAGGTTCTGCCGAACATGTGGACTATATCATACATTAGAGTTCTTGCAGTACCTTGTTTTCTTTTGAAGAAGATATGATTTTTCTTTTCTTGAAGATGTTGTTTTGCATAGCATTGAGACTTGTTATGATCTCTGAATGCTGTGATAGATTGCTTTCTTTTTTGTTTCTAAGTTTATTAAAACTTAATAAAAAACCAAACCTTTAAAAAAGTTTTCAATTCACACATACATATGTATTATGTAACGATCAATTTTCAAATTCAAAAAGTTATTTGCTACATAAGTGACATATCTCAAAAACCTAAAAAAAAAATAGAAGGTAAGAGTCAGAACAGGGTTACTTGTACAGTCAGGTCCATAAATATTGGGACATCGACACAATTCTAACATTTTTGGCTCTATACACCACCACAATGGATTTGAAATGAAACAAACAAGATGTGCTTTAACTGCAGACTGTCAGCTTTAATTTCAGGGTATTTACAGTTGTGGCCAAAATTATTCAACCCCCAATGCTGTAAAGGGGTTTAGGGACTATAGTGTACATTTGGAATTGTATTCAGAATCAAATCCTACAAGGACGTTGTAACTACCCAAATGCAACTAAAATGACATCAATTGTTTATGTAATACAGTAGTAAATGGTTCTTATGTGGTTTCTTCATTGCCACAATTATTCAACCCCTTAAAGACTACCACTCTGAAGAACAGAGGTTCATACAGGTGCTTTCCATCAGGTATTGAAAACACCTGTGGATGTCACCGAGCAGCAATCAAGCATAATAAGCACCAATTAGGCAGCTTTAAAATGACTGTGATACTCAGCTCCTTCTAGACATTTACTGGTGTGGTTACAAACATGGTGAAGGCAAGAGAATGGTCCAGGAAGACAAGAGAAGAGGTGATTTCTCTTCACAGGAAGGGCAATGGCTATAAGAAGATTGCAAAGATGTTAAACATACCAAGAGACACCTTAGGAAGCATCATTCGCAAATTCAAGGCAAAGGGCACTGTTGAAACGCTACCTGGTCGTGGCAGAAAGAAGATGCTGACTTCGACTGCTGTGCGCTACCTGAAGCGTAGAGTGGAGAGAAGTCCCCGTGTGACTGCTGAGGAACTGAGAAAAGATTTGTCAGATGTGGGTACAGAAGTTTCAGCCCAGACAATAAGACGCACACTGCGTAATGAAGGCCTCCGTGCCAGAACTCCCAGGCGTACCCCCTTGCTGTCTCCAAAGAATAAGAAGAGTCGACTGCAGTATGCCAAAAGCCATGTGGACAAACCACAAAAGTTGTGGGATAGTGTTCTGTGGACTGATGAAACAAAATTAGAACTGTTTGGGCCCATGGATCAACGCTATGTTTGGAGGAGGAAGAACAAGGCCTATGATGAAAAGAACACCTTGCCTACTGTGAAGCATGGTGGAGGGTCAATCATGCTTTGGGGCTGTTTTGCTTCTGCAGGTACAGGGAAGCTTCAGCGTGTGCAAGGTACCATGAATTCTCTTCAGTACCAGGAGATATTGGATGGAAACGTGATGCAGTCCGTCACACACCTGAGGCTTGGGAGACGTTGGACCTTTCAACAGGACAATGATCCCAAGCATACCTCCAAGTCCACTAGAGCATGGTTGCAGAGGAAAGGCTGGAACATTTTGGAGTGGCCATCGCAGTCACCAGACTTAAATCCGATTGAGAACCTCTGGTGGGACTTAAAGAAAGCAGTTGCAGTGCGCAAGCCTAAGAATGTGACTGAACTGGAGGCCTTTGCCCATGAAGAATGGGCGAAGATACCCGTAGATCGCTGCAAGACACTTGTGTCAAGCTATGCTTCACGTTTAAAAGCTGTTATAACTGTAAAAGGATGCTGTACTAAGTACTAAGATTGAATGTCACTTGGGGGTTGAATAAAACTGATAATGCTGTGAGCACAGAAAAGACATTTGTGGTTATTTCATTATAACTGTTATGTTATATTTGTCTGACCTACAAGTGCCTCTTTAATGTAAATGTAAGCAAGATGACTGAATGATCAAAAGCAATGTCAAACTGGCCAAAACACTCAATTTCAGTGGGGGTTGAATAATTTTGGCCACAACTGTACATCCAAATCAGGTGAATGGTGTAGGAATTACAACAGTTTGCATATGTGCCTCCCACTTGTTAAGGGACCAAAAGTAATGGGACAGAATAATAATCATAAATCAAACTTTAACTTTTTAATACTTGGTTGCAAATCCTTTGCAGTCAATTACAGCCTGAAGTCTGGAACGCATAGACATCACCAGACGCTGGGTTTCATCCCTGGTGATGCTCTGCCAGGCCTCTACTGCAACTGTCTTCAGTTCCTGCTTGTTCTTGGGGCATTTTCCCTTCAGTTTTTGTCTTCAGCAAGTGAAATGCATGCTCAATTGGATTCAGGTCAGGTGATTGACTTGGCCATTGCACAACATTCCACTTCTTTCCCTTAAAAAACTCTTAGGTTGGTTTTGCAGTATGCTTTGGGTCATTGTCCATCTGCACTGTGAAGCGGCGTTCAATGCGTTCTGAAGCATGTGGCTGAATATGAGCAGATAATATTGCCCGAAACACTTCAGAATTCATCCGGCTGCTTTTGTCAGCAGTCACATCATCAATAAATACAAGAGAACCAGTTCCATTGGCAGCCATACATGCCCACGCCATGACACTACCACCACCATGCTTCACTGATGAGGTGGTATGCTTAGGATCATTAGCAGTTCCTTTCCTTCTCCATACTCTTCTCTTCCCATCACTCTGGTACAAGTTGATCTCGGTCTCATCTGTCCATAGGATGTTGTTCCAGAACTGTGAAGGCTTTTTTACATGTCGTTTGGCAAACTCTAATCTGGCCTTCCTGTTTTTGAGGCTCACCAATGGTTTACATCTTGTGGTGAACCCTCTGTATTCACTCTGGTGAAGTCTTCTCTTGATTGTTGACTTTGACACACATACACCTACCTCCTGGAGAGTGTTCTTGATCTGGCCAACTGTTGTGAAGGGTGTTTTCTTCACCAGGGAAATAATTCTTCGGTCATCCACCACAGTTGTTTTCCGTGGTCTTCCGGGTCATTTGGTGTTGCTGAGCTCACCGGTGCATTCCTTCTTTTTAAGAATGTTCCAGACAGTTTTTTTGGCCACGCCTAATGTTTTTTCTATCTCTCTGATGGGTTTGTTTTGTTTTTTCATCCTAATGATGGCTTGCTTCACTGATAGTGACAGCTCTTTGGATCTCATCTTGAGAGTTGACAGCAACAGATTCCAAATGCAAATAGCACACTTGACATTAACTCTGGACCTTTTATCTGTTCATTGTAAATGGAATAATGAGGGAATAACACACACCTGGCCATAGAACAGCTGAGAAGTCAATTGTCCCATTACTTTTGGTCCCTTAACAAGTGCGAGGCACATATGCAAACTGTTGTAATTCCTACACCGTTCACCTGATTTGGATATACATACCCTGAAATTAAAGCTGACAGTCTGCAGCTAAAGCACATCTTGTTTGTTTCATTTTAAATCCATTGTGGTGGTGTATAGAGCCAAAAATGTTAGAATTGTGTCGATGTCCCAATATTTATGGACCTGACTGTATATAATAATACATGCCATCTGAAAGAAGGCTGCATTTTTCAGTGGCTCATTTATTAAAAAGCCAACACTTTTGGTTGGATGAGTCAAACACCTATTTCCCCAATGGCATGCTGGGGTTTTTTTCCACTGCTTTATATATCCTGTAGTGAAAATGGAAGAAATCATATCATGCGGCAGAAGAACAGGCATTTACACAACCAGAAATACGTAAATACTTTCAGTAAGTGGGAAAGCAGTGAAGTGGTGGCTTTCAAGAAATGGACTGAAAGGTAAGTATGTGCAGTCTTCTTTTACCAGTTATTTTTTAAATAATAGAATATGTTTTAAAGTGCTGGTGATGGTGACTTTAAATGACTTTAAAATGCTGGGAGTGAAATTGTTAGCCATATATTACCAAATGTTTATGGAGTATAGGAAGTAGTACTTCTGTATACAATGTATCAAGTAGTAACATATTCGTTAAGATCCAAATGACAGACCAGGAAACTAAGCATGTATCTACATATTCCTATATATGAAGCACTGTGCAAAAGTTTTATGCGGGGTGAGAAAATGTTGTAAATTAAAAATGCCTTCAGAAATAGAAGTGTTAATAGTTCATTTTTGCCAATTAACAAAATGGAAAATAAATGAACAGAAGACAAATCCAAATCATATCAATATTTGGTGTGATCACCCTTTGGCTTAAAACAAGCATCCATTCTTCTATGTAGACTTGCACACAGCTTTTGAAGTAACTCAGCAGGTTGGTTGTTCCAGACATCTTGGAGAACTAAGCATAGATCTTCAGTGGATGTAGGCAGGCTGCCTCAAATCCGTTTGTCTCTTCATGTAATCCCAGATAGACGTGATGATGATGAGAGCAGGGCTCTGTGGGGGCCAAACTATAACTTCCAGGACATCTTGTTCTTCTTTACACTGAAGGTAGCTCTTAATGACATTGACAGCATGGGTCATTGTCTTGCTGCAGAATAAATTTGAAGCCAATCACATGCCTCCCTAATGGTATGGAAGGATGGTTAAGTATCTGCCTGTGTTTCTCACCATTGAGGACACCATTGATCCTGACCAAATCTGCAACTCAATTTGCAGAAACGCAGCCCCAAACTTGCAGGGAACCTCCACCATGCTTCACTGTTGGCTGCAGACACTCATTATTATACCACTCTTCAGCCCTTCACCAATAAACTGCCTCCTGTTACAGCCAAATATTTCACATTTTGATTCATCAGTCCAGAGCACCTGCTGCCATTTTTCCGCATCTTAGATTTTTATGTTTTAATGCATATTTGAGTTGCTTAGGCCTTGTTTCCATGTCCTATGCATGAAAGCATAGGAAGTAGGGTGCAATTTCTAAAATAATTCTTAATTTACAGCATTTTTAACACGTACCTAAAACGTTTGCATAGAACTGAATCTACATACGGCTCTAACATCTGTATATGCATAAAGCCCCTATGGACCAGAACATTTTAACATTCCTTTTTATTATTTCTGCTGTGTATCCAGAAAGAATGTTGACATTGCTTAAGATAACAATATATATTTTTATTAAAAACAAAGCTTTCTTTTGGTATTAATTACAATTTCAAAAAACTTGTCATGCCTCCTCATGAATACCTTGGACAGTCTACTGTCTAAAAAGGGATCATTTGGGGGTTATTTGTACTGTCCTGACATTTTCAGGCCCCAAGAAATGAGATCGGCCATCAGCACAACAGGACTGATCAATTTTCAGATACAGTGTATATACCATAGTTTGTGGACTCTATAACTTTGATACAGACTAAATAATAAACACTGATTTGGGATACCTTCACCAAAGAAATGTAGCATAATACAGTTTGGTTTAAATTTATTTGATTTACGTACATGGGAGATTGTAGATTCTTGTTATAGAACACTAGTATGATAATTTGGAAGTTCCATAAAATTGTTAAAGGGTAAATGACAAGCATGATAAGAAAAATTAGAATATTTAGGTTTTTGCCAAATCTAAATCCCAAAAGAATGAATTCATTAAATGTTTGATTATTACCTGTTTTGACAGGGAAATAAATACATATAAGTGTTAATATATATATATATATATATATATATATATAAAAAAAAAATATATATATATATATATATATATGTACAGGTGAAACTCAAAACATTAGAATAACGTGCAAAAGTTCATTTATTTCAGTGCAGCAACTTAAAAGGTGAAACTAATATATGAGATAGACTCATTACATGCAAAGCAAGATAGTTCAAGCCGTGATTTGTCATAATTGTGAGGATTATGGCTTACAGCTCATGAAAACCCCAAATCCACAATCTCAGAAAATGAGAATATTGTGAAAAGGTGCAATATTCTCGGCTCAAAGTGTCCCACTCTAATCAGTTAATTAAGCCATAACACCTGCAAAGGGTTCCTGAGCCTTTAAATGGTCTCTCAGCCTGGTTCAGTAGGAATCACAATCATGGGAAAGACTGCTGACCTGACACCATCATTGACACCCTCCATAAGGTGGGAAAGCCTCAAAAGGTAATTGGAAAAGAAGTTGGATGTTCCCAAAGTGCTGTATCAAAGCACATTAATAGAAAGTTATGTGGAAGGGAAAAGTGTGGAAGAAAAAGGTGCACAAGCAGCAGGGATGACCACAGCCTGAAGAGGATTGTCAGGAAAAGGCCATTCAAAAGTGTTGGGGACTTTCACAAGGAGTGGACTGAGCCTGGAGTCAGTGCATCAAGAGCCACCACACACAGACGATTCCTGGACATGGGCTTCAAATGTTGTATTCCTCTCCTGAACAACAAACAACGTCAGAAGCGTCTTTCCTGGGCTAAAGAAAAACAGACCTGGTCTGTTGCTCAGTGGTCCAAAGTCCTCTTTTCTGATGAGAGCAACTTTTGCATCTCATTTGGAAACCAAGGACTCTGAGTATGGAGGAACAATGGAGAGGTACACACTGCAAGATGCCTGAAGTCCAGTGTGAAATTTCCACAGTCTGTGTTGATTTGGGGAGCCATGTCATCTGCTGGTGTTGGTCCACTGTGCTTCATTAAGTCCAGGGTCAACGCAGCCATCTACCAGGTGATTTTGGAGCACTTCATGCTTCCTTCCGCAGTCGAGCTTTATGGGGATGCTGACTTCATTTTCCAGCAGGACTTGGCACCTGCCCACAAAGCACCAAAACCTGGTTCAATGACCGTGGGATTACTGTGGTTAATTGGCCAGCAAACTCGCCTGACCTGAACCCCATAGAGAATCTATGGGGCATTGCCAAGAGAATGATGAGAAACATGAGACCGAACAATGCAGAAGAGCTGAAGGCCACTATTGAAGCATCCTGGTCTTCCATAACACCTCAGCAGTGCCACAGGCTGATAGCTTCCATGTCACGCCGCATTGAGGCAGTAATTTCTGCAAAAGGGGCCCAAACCAAGTACTGAGTACATATGCATGCTTCTACTTTTCAGAGGTCCGATATTGTTCTACGTACAATCCTTGTTTTATTGATTGCATGGAATATTCTCATTTTCTGAGGTTGTGGATTTGGGGTTTTCATGAGCTGTAAGCCATAATTAGAGATGAGCGAATTATTCAAAAATTCGATTCAGCTGATTCGCCGAATTTGCGGGAGAAATTCGATTCAATGCGAATTTATTCGCCGCAAATTTAACTTATTTAAAGGGTTTCTAGGCTTCAGAGAGCCTTTATATTAGTGCAGAACACTGTACCTTTAATTTAAATGTCCTTGGAGTCTGCTGGGGAAGAGAAATAATACTGTCAGTCAGTATGACATGCAGATGAGTGCCGTCGATCTTAGAATCACCGCACACTTCACTCATTTGGGCAGTCACAGGGCACGACGAAGAAGAAGAAGAAGAATGAAAAGAAGAATGAAAAGAAGAAGAAGAAGAATGAAAAGAAGAATGAAAAGAAGAAGAATGAAAAGAAGAAGAAGAATGAAAAGAAGAAGAAGAAGAATGAAAAGAAGAATGAAAAGAAGAAGAAGAAGAATGAAAAGAAGAAGAATGAAAAGAAGAATGAAAAGAAGAAGAATGAAAAGAAGAAGAAGAATGAAAAGAAGAAGAATGAAAAGAAGAAGAAGAATGAAAAGAAGAATGAGAAGAAGAATGAAAAGAAGAATTAAAAGAAGAATGAAAAGAAGAATTAAAAGAAGAATGAGAAGAATGAAAAGAAGAATGAAAAGAAGAAGAAGAAGAATGAAAAGAAGAAGAAGAATGAAAAGAAGAAGAAGAAGAATGAAAAGAAGAATGAAAAGAAGAAGAAGAAGAAGAATGAAAAGAAGAAGAAGAAGAATGAAAAGAAGAATGAAAAGAAGAAGAAGAAGAATGAAAAGAAGAAGAAGAAGAATGAAAAGAGGAATGAAAAGAAGAAGAAGAAGAATGAAAAGAAGAATGAAAAGAAGAAGAATGAAAAGAAGAAGAAGAAGAATGAAAAGAAGAATGAAAAGAAGAAGAAGAAGAATGAAAAGAAGAAGAAGAAGAATGAAAAGAAGAATGAAAAGAAGAAGAAGAATGAAAAGAAGAAGAAGAAGAAGAATGAAAAGAAGAATGAAAAGAAGAAGAAGAAGAATGAAAAGAAGAAGAATGAAAAGAAGAAGAAGAAGAATGAAAAGAAGAAGAAGAAAAATGAAAAGAAGAATGAAAAGAAGAAGAAGAAGAATGAAAAGAAGAAGAATGAAAAGAAGAAGAAGAAGAATGAAAAGAAGAATGAAAAGAAGAAGAAGAAGAATGAAAAGAAGAAGAATAAGAATGAAAAGAAGAATGAAAAGAAGAAGAAGAAGAAGAAGAAGAAGAATGAAAAGAAGAAGTATTCCAGTACAGCAAAAAAGTGTATCTGCAGAGAGCTCCGCTATTTCTGACAGTTCTCTGACAGTTCCTTCACATTTACAGCGGTTGAAACATTGTATCTATTTATTTCCGAATAAAAACATCTGTATCCTAAATGGAAACAAATAGATACAATGTTTCAACCGCTGTAAATGAACTGTCAGAACTGTCAGAAATAGCGGAGCTCTCTGCAGTGACACTTTTGCCGGCTGATCGGGAAAAATTTGATTCGTGCACCCGAAGTTTGCTAAAATTCGGATTCGATGCGAATCAAATTTTTCCTGATATTCGAAACAAATTCCACTTCGCCAGGTTCGATTCGCTCATCTCTAGCCATAATCATCACAATTATGACAAATCACAGCTTGAACTATCTTGCTTTGCATGTAATGAGTCTCATATATTTAGTTTCACCTTTTAATTTGCATTACTGAAATAAATGAACTTTTGCACGATATTCTAATTTTTCGAGTTTCACTTGTGTGTATATATATATATATATATATATATAAAAATTATAATCAGAGGCCATTTTTCTACTATAAACAAATAATGCTTTACAATGACTTAAGTACTTACTTTGAAAGTTTCCATAGTTCTCAGTCTGACAAAGGCTCTTATGTTCTCCTTGCTTGTGCCACGATGTTTTGTTTATTCTTTACTAATATTGATTAAGGACAGCTATGAATTAATAACCACTGAAATATTACTTTGTATATAATTTTAAAGTAACTCATTATTATACTATATTTAGGAACATTTTTCTAAACAAGAATCCATTTTTATTAGACCCAACTACTGAGGAACCTGGAAGATGTCATATATGATGAAACTTATAGGTAAGAGCAGATGTACTTGACGTCATCACATGCCTTTGAACCTGGAAGTGACCGGTGGTTATCTCAAGACTGGCTTGTTTGACTGATGAGCTTTTCTGTGTTTTAACTTTGTATTTTGGTGAATTCTAATTAACATTGCCGGGGATGGTTTTACACTATGAAGTGTTTTTTCCACTCTTTTATGTTTTTTATATAGAGTTGAGGTGGATATTCTTTTGTATTCTGTTAGATACCATAAGAGATTGTGGAAGATTTCAAAATGGTAAGAGCATACTCACTTCTCTTAATAGGGTTAAATGTAAAGAGGAAAGGATCACCTCTACCCACAGAAAGCCCAGATGCATAAACGATAAAGAGCAGCCTCAGTCTAAATGTCCAACAAACCAAACACCTGATACACTTTGCCACATCATAAGCAATTTATTATGGCAAAAATGGTGCATAATAAGATGAGTAAATTCATAAAATGTTTTGAGTTAGTGATTTAAACCTTTAAAATATTATAGACAATATTTCTATTTCTATTCTATTCTATTCCTGTATTCTCTTTTCTATTCTATTCTTTTAATTTCTATTCTATTCATTTATATTCTATTCTGTTTTATTCTATTCTTTTTGAAATTCAAATTTCAGAAGACAGTTATATTCTAATACGCATAGTCTTTGAAGGAAATCAGCAATAGCTAGAAATATGTTTATATTTTGATTAGTTGCAGAATTCGATTTTGTTTTCGAATTCCATTTAAGTTTGATTTGAATTCAATCCAATTCTATGCAGCATCTGCAACCTTTAATTTTAATAGCAGTTGTATAACTCACAATATTTTTGTAATTTTTTGTGTTTGATGGACACCTGTCAGAAATTGGCATCTCTTTTTATTATACTTGGAATCCATTGCATCTGCTTTGTTCCTTTGTACCACTAGCAATTATGATTTGTGGACTTTCTTTTTTGCTTTTCTCCATTAATGTTGAAAATTCTTAACAAAAAAAATCAGTTATTAAAAAAAAAACCACAACACTAGTGTCATGTACCTATCAGAGGAGCCAGATGAGATGAAGATGACCTCTCTTACACCTCTGTCCCAGGGCCCCAATAGAGTGAACAGGTGATGCAATGAATCACACTAGTTCCCTTGTCGGTCTGCTGGAAGCTGGTGCTCACGAGTGGGAGCCACTGACCAACAGATGACTTTTACACCGGCCTGTATTGTAATATGGAGTAAAAGGTTACATTTGGAAAACCATCTATTGTCTATTGCTTTTTTTTTATTAAAAAAGTAACAAAAAAAAAGTCACTGGACACCTTGCAAATATCTTCTCAAAATGACAATGCTACTCAGTACATCATAACATAAACTTAGACACCTAAATACCGCAAAATGTCAGCTTATTTTATCTGAATAATTATCTGTAAAATAATGGAACAATGTTAGAAAAAATTAACTTTTGAACTTGAATCTACTGGCAATGACCTGGTCAATGTGTTTGTGAATTCTCCTTAATTTTGCATTTTATATAAAGTACGATTACCCACTCACCTTCTAAGTGTTGAATACAGTAGACACAGGAATAATACATATAAATGACTGAATGTAAACCCTTACACATTAATATAAAAGATGTTACAGTGCACACGTATGTAAAGGCAAGCTGTAAAGGTCTACTGAGACTCTTGATGTTTTCTTAAGTGTTTGACAATTAGGAATCTACTGAGAGCTGCCAGGATTTAATTAAAAAATAGCTTACCTAGAAAAATTAAAAGTTGTGTTATGAAATGTTCAATTAAAAATGTTTTTCAGGCAAAACGTAAAGTTAAAGCACGTCTCTGGACTATATGTTATACATCTCTCTGTATGGAAAAAGCAGTTTGAGCTATAACAATCACTTTCAGTCTGGAGATGTCCCCACAGTACTTTTCTCCTGCCACTAGATGTCCACAGTCATGAAGACAGGGGAAAGACTGTAAGTGTGGGATATGGGATGAGCCAATGGTTCAGGCCAAATATTGGCTGTCTTTGCATTTGGATGAACACCCAACCTTTTGCATATTTGGATGTGGTATTTCTATCACTTCTGTATATACTATATTGCCAAAAGTATTGGGTCGCCGGCCTTTACATGCACATGAACTTTATTTGCCTTCCAGTTCTAGTCCATAGGGTCCATAAGGTTCAATATTGAGTTGGCCCACCGTTTGCAGCTATAACTGATTCAACTTTTCTGTGAAGGCTGCCCTCAAAATTTAGGAGGGTGTCTATGGGAAGGTTTGACCATTCTTCCAGAAGTGCATTTGTGAGGTCAGGCACGGATGTTGGGGGGAGGAGGCCTGGCTTGCAGTCTCCACTCTAAGGCTACGTTCACACTAGCGCTGTGTGCAAGCGGCAGAGAGGCGTTTGGGAAGCGTTTTTACCGCTTCCCAAAAGCCTCTGCCAATTCTGCACATTACAGCACATGGTGCTGTTCTAATGGGAGCGTTTGCGTCGCGTCGCGTTGCGTCATGGCAAAACGGACGCCTCTGGACGAGTCAGGAGGCGTTGAAGCCTCCTATTCTCGTCTATGGTGCTGCTCCGCAAACGCCTGGCCGGCATTTGCGGTGCGGTTGCGACGCGGTTGCGGGGCATTTGCGGAGCGGTAACACCACTCAAACTGCATTATAGGCGTTTGTGGGGCGTTATTAACGCTCGGCAAACGCCTAGCAACCGCCGCTAAACCGTGCATGCGGTGTTTGCGGAACGTTTGCCAAGCGTTAAAAAACGCTCCGCAAACGCCGGACCAACGCTTGCCAAACGCTATAGGGGCATTTGGCAAGCGTTGGCAAAACAGCCAAGTGTGAACGAGCCCTAACTCATCCCAAAGGTGTTCTATCGGGTTGAGGTCAGGACTCAGATGAGAAAAGTTCCTCTACTCAATACTCACTCATCCATGTCTTTATGGACCTTATTTTGTGTAGTCATGTTGGAACAAGAAGGGGCCAAATTGCTCCCACAAAGTTGAGATCATGAAGTTGTGCAAAATGTCTTGGTATGCTGACACCTTAAGAGTTCCCATCACTGAAACTAGGAGGAAAAGCCCAACTCCTGAAGAACAAGCACACACCATAATCTCCCCTCCACCAAACTTTATACTTAGCACAATGCAGTCAGGCAAGTATCTTTCTCCTGACAACTGCCAAACCCAGACACATACATCGGATTGCCAGACAGAAAAGCATGATTGGTCACTCCAGAGAACACATCTCCACTGCTCTAGAGTCCAGTGGCAGCGTGCTTTACACCACAGCATCCAACACTTTGCATTGCACTTAGTGATGTAAGGCTAGGATGCAGCTGCTCGGCCATGTAAACCCATTCCATGAAGCTCTCTATGCACTGTTGTTGTGCTCATCTGAAGGCCACACCAAGTTTAGAGGTCTTTAGCTATTTACTTTGCAGACAGTTGGTGACTTCTGCACACTGTGCGCTTCAGCATGCGCTGACCCCGCCCTGTTATGTCACGTGTCTTACCACTTGGTGGCTGAGTGGCTGTTGTTCCCAGTGGCTTCCACTTTGTTATAATCCCACTAACAGTTGAGCATGGAATATTTAGTAGCCAGGAAATGTCACGGATGGACTTGTTGCACAGGTGGCCACCTATCACGGGACCACGCTTGGAGTCACTGAGCTCCTGAGAGCGACCCATTCTTTCACCAATGTTTGTAGAAGCAGTCTGCATGCCTAGGGGCTTGATTTTATACATTTGTGGCCATGGAGGTGACTGGAACACCTGAATCCAATGATTTGGAGGGGTGCCCCAATACTTTTGTCAATATTGTGTGCGTGTGTGTATGTGTGTATGTATGTACAGTTGCAAGAAAAAGTATGTGAACCCCTTGGGATTACGTGGAGTTTTGCATGAATTGGGCATAAAATGTGCTCTGAACGTCATCTAAGTCACAACAATAGAAGAACACAGTCTGCTGAGCATAATACTACACAAACATTAGATGTTGCCATGGTTTAATTGCACATAACATGTAAACATTCACAGTGCAGGGAGGAAAAAGTATGTGAGGCCCTAGCTTAATGACTTCTCCCAGAGCTAATTGGAGCCAGGAGTGAGCCAACCTTGAGTCCAATCAGTGTGATGATATTGGATGTGTTGCTGACACCTGTTTTGGGTTTACTGGTTTCAAGAAGCACTGTCTGATGTGAACCATGCCTCGCTGAAAAGAGCTCTCAGAAGACCTACAATCAAGAATTGTTAACTTGCATGAAGCTGGAAAGGGTTACAAAAGTATCTCCAAAAGCCTTGATGATCATGTGTCCACGGTAAGACAGACTATCTACAAATGGAGAAAGTTTAGCACTGCTGCTACTCTCCCTAGGCGTGGTCGTCCTGTGAAAATGACTGCAAGAGCACAGCGCAGAATGCTGCATGAGGTAAAGAAGAATCCCAGAGTGTCAGTAAGCTAAGACCTACAGAAATCTCTGGCACATGCTAACATTTTTGTTGACACATCTACAATAAGGAAAACATTAAACAAGAATGGAGTACATGGGAGGACACCACGGAGGAAGCCATTGCTGTCCAAAAAGAATATTGCAGCACGTTTGAAGTTTGCAAAAGAGCACCTGGATGTTCCACAGCACTACTGGCAAAATATACTGTGGACAGATGAAACCAAGATTGAGTTGTTTGGGAAGAACACACAACACTATGTGTGGAGAAAAAAAGGCACAGCACACCAACATCAAAACCTCATCCCCACTGTAAAACATGGCGGAGGGAGCATCATGGTTTGGGGCTGCTTTGCTGCCTCAGGTCCTGGACAGATTGTTGTTATTGATGGGAAAATGAATTCCAGAGTTTATCAAGACATTTTGCAGGAAAATGTATGACCATCTGTCCGCCAACTGAAGCTCCGCAGAGGATGGGTGATGCAACAGGACAATGACCCAAAGCATACAAGTAATTCAACAAAACAATTGCTGCAAAAGCACAGAATACGCCTTCTGGAGTGGCCCAGTCAGAGTCCTGACCTCAACCCGATTGAAATGCTGTGGCATGACCTTAAGAGAATGATTCACACCGGACATCCCAAGAATATTGCTACGCTGAAACAGTTTTGTGAAGAGGAGTGGTTCAAAATTACTCCAGATCATTGTGCAGGTCTGATCTGCAACTACAGGAAACGTTTGGTTGAGGTTATTGCTGCCAAAGGAGGGTCAACCAGTTATTAAGTCCAAAGGTTCACATACTTTTTCCTCCCTGCACTGTGAATGTTTACATGTTATGTGTAATTAAACCATGGCAACATCTAATGTTTGTGTAGTATTATGTTCAGCAGACTGTGTTCTTCTATTGTTGTGACTTAGATGACGTTCAGAACACATTTTATGCCCAATTCATGCAAAACTCCACGTAATCCCAAGGGGTTCACATACTTTTTCTTGCAACTGTATGTATATGTGTGTATATATATATATATATATATATATATATATATATATATATATTTCATTGAATTATTTTTATTAATATTAATACAGTAATTGTAGTTCATAACTACAGCACTAAGCATTATCACACTTCTGCAGTGGTAGCTGCAGTGCCATTTGCAAGTCTAAGGCGTATTGTATGAATAAAGTCTTTAGCCTGCATGTGACCACTATGATTTTCTAAAGGCCAATAAACTGTTGATTTGCACTGTGAAAGGGGATTTTACTCAGCGCTAGTAAATGTTCCTTTGCAAAATATATCCAATTACATTCAAGGAAGATATAATAATAGTATTTTAATAGTATCTTAATAGATAATAGTATTTTTGCTTGCATTGGATTGGATGATAGGTTAATAGAGCTTCACTTCATTCAGAAAGCTCTGGGGAAGATTCCTTGTTAGAGTGAACAATCTATTTGCCTTTACTATATTAACCCCTATGTCACATGATCAGGAAACACTTTGATTTTCTCCCTATTGATAGTGGGTATCGAAGCAAATTTTATCTGGAAGCTGTCTAAGGGGGAACATGGATGAATCCTTTATTAGCACAGGGCATGGTACAGAAGAGAGACCAAATTCCTCTTGTGTCTTTTTTTAGGGATTCTTAGGGATAAATACCATATTGCATGTATGTTTCTACAATATGGAATTTGTTCGGAAATAGGCGTTTTTTTCTTTCCAGTTGGTCAAAGTGATTTTAGCCAGTTGAGTAACTGAAGCATACCTCATAATCTAAAAAAAAAACTTAAATAAAATACCTGCTCCCTGCTCCTTCCCCCATTGTCTGCAAATCCCAACTGTCCTTTTGATTCATGCTCTGTATTTTGGGAGTGTCTCTAGCAGCTGCTGTGTAAAATGAATCATCTGATACTAAGCTCCAATAAACTTCCTCCCAATCTCCTGTTAACTATTCTTCGGCTGATTATTTTTATTTCTTTTGTTTACCGTATTTTCCGGCGTATAAGATGACTTTTACCTCTTGAAAATTCTCTCGAAAGTCGGGGGTCATCTTATACGCCGGTATACGGCATACTGACACTTTTTAGGGGGCGGCGCGGTGCCCAACGGAAGGGACACTAAGTACAGGGGTGGGCAGGGGCTGCTGTTTCTTACCTGGCTCCGGTCCCACGCCGATCCGGTCCAGGAAGCGCGGCTGCTCCTTCAGTTCGGCCACTGGATGTTTGCGTGGCTGTTTGGCTCCGCCTCCTCACCGGTGATTGGCCGCCAGAACTGTAGCTCAGGAAAGGCACACAGGCGGCCGATCACCGGCGAGGGGGCAGAGCCGAGCGGCCCCGCGAAAATCGAGTGAAGGAGCAGCGTAGAGGTAAGTGTGCAGCGTAGAGGTGCTGCTGCAACCACATATGCTGGCTGCAGCAGCACCATACTAGAACATCGGTCAGCAAGTGTAATTGGTGTCAGTGGGAGGAATAGTGCCCCATCATTGGGGTCACTGATACTAATGATGGGGCATTATTCCTCCCACTGACACCAACGATGGGGCACTATTCCCCCCCCACTGACACCAATGATGGGGCACTATTCCACCCCCCACTGACACCAATGATGGGGCACTATTCCACCCCCCACTGACACCAATGATGGGACACTATTCCTCCCACTGACACCAATGATGGGGCACTATTCCCCCCTCTGATACTAATGATGGGGCACTATTCCTGCCACTGATACCAATGATGGGGCACGATTCCCCCCACTGACACCAAAGATGGGGCACTATTCCTCCCACTGATACTAATGATGGGGCACGATTCCCCCCACTGACACCAAAGCTGGGGCACTATTCCTCCCACTGATACTAATGATAGGGCATTATTCCTGCCACTGATACCAATGATGGGGCACGATTCCTCTCACTGACACCAATAATGTAGTGCTATTCCTCCCACTGACACCAAATGATGGGGTGCTATTCCTCCCACTGACACCAATGATGGGGCATGATTCGTTGCTCTGACACCAATGATGGGGCACTATTCCTCCCACTAATACCAATGATGGGGCACTATTCCTCCCACTGATACCAATGATTGGGCACTATTCCTTCCACTAATACCAAGGATGAGGCACTATTCCTCCCACTAATATCAAGGATGAGGCACTATTCCTCCCACTAATACAATGATGGGGCACTATTCCTTCCACTAATACCAAGGATGAGGCACTATTCCTCCCACTAATACAATGATGGGGCACTATTCCTCCCACTGACACCAATGATTGGGCACTATTCCTTCCACTGATACCAATGATGGGACACTATTCCTCCCACTAATACAATGATGGGGCACTATTCCTCCCACTGACACCAATGATGGGGCACTATTCCTCCCACTGACACCAATGATGGGGCACTATTCCTCCCACTGACACCGATGATGGGGCGCTATTCCCCCCACTGGTGTGCATTGGAAGAGGGGTAGTCTTATATGGCGAGTATAGCCCAAACACTACATTTTAGCAGGAAAAGTAGGGGGTCGTCTTATACGCCAGAAAATACGGTACTATTAATATTAGCCTTTTTTCATTTATTTTTATTTAATTTAATTTCTTAGTTTCCCATTTAATAATTGACCCCCCCCCCCAGATACACACACAAAAATTCCGTAAGGTCCCAAATAATACTCAGATGTGAGAGCTGTAATGATTAAAAAAATTATGGAAACGTTTCTCTTAATGTGTAACTACATGCAAAACTTTTTTTTTTTAGTGTTGGTTAGAGAGGAGAGGAATTAGAACATAATCCGTTTTTAATTGCTGCTTGTGCCCCTGTTAGGAAGCTTCACCTTCTTTATTAGTCCTGTTTACAGCTACCACCAAGAATGGAAATGAAGAAAATACCAAATTTTGAGCCATCGCTAGAACATAAGTAATCTTCCAATGGGGATGCAAGTTCTGGTGACTCAGGAAACAACCAGGAATTCCTTCATTTTGGAGGAACTTCTTCTTACTTCCTGTTTTGGCTATAGGACAGGAAGTGAAAGGGAAATCTCCCCAATGGAACACAGATGGCTGACAGGGGTTTTAACCCTCCCTTAAACTACCCAAAGTGGAAGAACACAGTTTTATCCTTTTGTTTTACTGTAAATTGTCTTTCGAGTTTTATTGACAACACATACAAAATACAATTTTAAAGCTGTCTTAATCTCTTGGCTTCTAAGACTATATATAATAGGATTCAATAAAGGCCTTACCAATAAAAGCCAAAGACAGAATTTTTTTAATGT